AATTTAAAGTCGCCCCCACTCCTGCATCTGCATCCCTCCCCACAGAGTAAGAAGCCCAGGAAATCAGCAGGCTGTGTACCCTGAACCTATCCCTCTCCACTCTCCACCAAGTCCTGGGGACCTAGAGATGGCTGCCCAGATGGCTTAAGCCTGTTTTAGATTACGTAGGCCATTTCCTTTGGTTCATCTTCCTGTCAGATAACAAACAAATCCTGGCTCTGACAGGGAGAACCTTTACTCAAAAAGGAAAAGGGATGGCTTAAATAGTGGAGGAGTGGAGATCCTACAATAGGGAGAACACTCCCACTGTAATATCTGCCTGGTTGCTCAAAGAGCTAAGAAAAAAGCATTTTGTAGAGATGAGAGTAAGCAAGGTGTTGCGAAACTGGGATAAGGGGGTGACATCACTGGATAGTAAATCAGAATTTTTTTGTTTAAGTCTTACTATTCTGGGGGTGTGGGGGGTGGTCTAAGGACACTTAAACAGGAGAGTATGTTGACTCAGGTTGAGGGTGAGCCAGAGTTCAGGGACTTAGGGAAAGGAGAGAAGTTTCACTGGAAGTTTGGTTAATAAGCATCTTGTTTCTGACTGATCACTGGGGACAAGCAGGTCAATAAATCATTTCTGAGGCAAAGAAAGGGAATTTGGAGGGTCTGTGTTTTGCTTATGGGGACATTAGTGATTCAGTGATAGAATTCTTGCTTTCATGAGGGAGACCAGGGTTTGATTCCTGGCCAAAGCATCTCATGCACACCCACCACCTGTCTGTCTGTGGAGGCTTGTGTGTTGCTATGATGCTGAACAGGTTTCAGGGGGAGATTCCAGAATAAGATGGGATAGGAAGAAAGGCCTGGTGATCTGTTTCCAAAAATCAACCAATGACAGAACATGAACAGAGAAGACACTCAGGCAGCTGACAAACATATGAAGAAATGTTCACGATCATTAGCCACTAGGAAGAGGCAAATCAAAACAACGATCAGGTATCATCTCATCCCAGCATTAATAGCAAAGTTCAAACAAACAAAACACAACAAATGCTGGTGAGAGTGTGGAGAGACTGGGCTCCTCCTACATTGCTGGTAGGAATGCAAAATGGTTTAACCACTGTGGAAAACGTTGTGGCGCTTCCTCAGAAAGTTGGAAATAGAAGTACCATATGATGTAGAAATCCCTGTACTTGGTATACATCCACAAGAAATAAGAGCCAGTACACGAGTAGATATATACACACCCATGTTCATCACAGCACTACTCACAATAGCAAAAAGATAGAGACACCCTAAAGGCCCATCAACATAAGAGTGGATAAACAAACTTTGGCACATATACGTAATAGAATACTATGCAATGATGAAGAATGATGATGAATCTGCAAAACAACTCATAACATGGATGAACTCGAAAGGCATTATGCTAAGTGAAATAAGTCAATCACAAAAGGATAAATATCATGTGAGATCAGTATTGTAAAAACTCAAGAAAAGGCATTCATTGATGGTTACCGGGGTGGGAGGGTAGGGGGACAAAGAGGGCAAGATACAAGAATGGGGAAGGTAATGTACAAGAAGAGGGAGGTTGACAGAAGAATGATGAAGATAGGTGGACACAAGGACACATATACAAGGGCTAAAGGGCCTAAAGGTCAATAGTGATATATACACAATCTTGAAACAACAGTGTTCTGTGTGTAGATACATGAACAGAGACACAGGCTGAATGGGTATGGGAGGAAGAGTGGGATATATTCATATTTATATATCTCACAAATATATAAAAGTTTCAAAGATGGTATTTGTACCTGAGTAACCAAAGGAAGGAAGAAGGACAACTGTTGTTGCATGGAAGGGGTTGTAATCATTGAGATGTAACAAAGTGCGTGATTTGTTGAATGTAAAACTGATGATCTTGTCTGTAAACCTTTACTCAATTCACAATAATAATAATAATAAAGATAGGGGGGGAAAACACCCAAAATTAGCCAGTGAAAGCCCTGTGTATCTCAATGGTCCCATCCAAAACTGATCATGAGGTTGACTTTGGACTGGACTGAGTCCTGGGTTTCCTTGGAGTGGGTTTGAACCACCCACTGAGCCAGCAGGGTTCCTTTCAAGAAGTCTAAAGATTTCGAAATTTAAGCTTAACTTTCAAAGTTATCTGATTGGCTATATGTCAAGGTAGGAAGATGGAACATAGCGCACTTAACAGTTTGCTAGCTGATTTATTCCTTTAAATATTTGCATCTCTGGTGTGTGGCTGTCTGTGTCCTCTGGACTCAGCCATGCATATGTCAGGGCTGGTCCCAGGAGTGTTTGGAGATAGGTTTTGATAAACTGGTTAGGATGTCAGGAGGTAACAATAGAAAAGACACTGGGCATTTTCAGACAACAGCAAGCAGAGTAGGGGAAGAAGGCCATCCTTTGCTGTGTGGCAGGGCAGCCTCGGAGGCATCATCTCCCCCAGTTCACCTCTCTGATGCCCTACTCCAGCTTCCTAGGTCATCTGGTTTGCATACTTTCTCATATCTTCTGTGTACTCCTACTGACCTCTCTCCTGTATCCCTGCTTACCTTTCCCTGAGATCTGCCCTAAGACATTACCTTCTCTGCAGTCTTCCTTGAAGGCCCAAGCCTGTGTCAGCCCTATACTGTACCCATCACACCGTTTGAATCAGCCTTGTCTGTTTCTACCAAGACCATAAGTCAGTTCAGTATGGGCATGGCAGAGAGGTTCAAGCAATTTGGTTTCATTTTAGTTTAATTTTTTTTTTTTTTTGTAAAAATATACCCAGCAAAACAATTGTCCATCCAACAGTTTCTACATGTACATGATGTTGATACATTCTTTCCTCTGTGTCATTATTCTCACTTGTTGTTGTTGTGAATTGCTGTTGAGTTGATTCTGACCCATAGTGAACCTGTATAGGGTTTCCAAAGAGCAGCTAGTGAGCTTGAACCACCGACTTGAACCACCGACCTTGCAAACAACTTTACAGTGTGACGCATTAGCCCACAGCGCCACACCAGGACTCCCATCATTCTCACTAGCTTTTCTCAAATGTTTTACCACCAGTAACTTAAGACTTACTGCTCCCTACACTTCTTATCTATGCTTTAGAGTTACTGTTGTCAGTTTGATCTTATACAGATAATTCTTTAAAAGAGAGCAATCCTCACCGTACACATTCTTTGGTAATTGGTCCCAACTCATAGCAACTCTGTATAGGGTTTTCAAGGAGCAGCTGGTGGGTTTGAACCACCAACTTTATGGTTAGCAGTCTATTGCTTATCTTATAGGGCCACACTAGGACTCCAAAGACAAATTTAGAGGGTAGTCTTGGTTCGAGGCTTAGAGATAGTCTCAGGACAATAGATTTCAGGCCTTCTTCCAATATCAGTGGGTATAGGAAGTCTAGATTCCATAAGCATTTGAAACTCTGTTCCGCATATTCCCCCTTTTGATCAGGATCTCTTGAGTCATTGATGAGAACAGTCAGTAATGGTAGCTGAGCACCTTAGTTTACTTTTAACCTGTAGTATTTGTCACACTTTATTGTGATATTTGGCCAGAAGACAAATAGGAAAACAATAAGAAAATGGTTGGTGGAGGTAGTTTGGCATAATAGGAAAAGCACTGTACTTTAAAATATGTTTTTTTTCTTAGACAGCCTGAGTCCTTAGGTTGGTTCTCTGACTGACCTGGTTCATCTGTGAATGTCCATGTGTGTGCACATGTGCACAGAGATTGAGGGCAGGGAGGAGAACTCATTGAACCATCCAGAACCTTCTTTGGTAAAAGAACCCATCCTCATTACTGTCCAGTTGAATCTGACTCATAGTGCCCTGATATAGGGCAGAGTAGAAATGCTCTAGAGGTTTCTCAGGCTGTCATCTTTATGGAATCAAACTGCCTCAACTTCTTCTCATAGAGCAGCTGATGGTGACTGGTGAGCTTGAACAACCAACCTTGCAGTTCAAACCAACTGTGCAGTCTAATGCATTAACCCACAGCGCCACTACATCCATATAAATTCTTTTCATTATTGTTCTATTTCCCCATGTATTAAATTGGTAATTATATACACCTTTATTATACATTATTAATTACTACATAGGAGTCCCTGGTGTAGCGCTGTGTGTTAATGCACCAGACTGCAAAGCCATTTGAACTGCAAGGTCAGCAGTTAAAGCTCACCAGCTGCTCCTAGGAAACCCTATACAGGGTCGCTATGGGTCAGAACTGACTCGACAGCACTTCACAACAACAATTACTGCATAAATTATGTAGTGAATATGTAGGATTAAAAACTGACCAAGAAAAAAATATGACCATGATAAGGCAGTGCAACAAAACAAATTGTTTTGGGGGGTGAACCACTGCACTTTTGATTAGCACTTAATCACTGTGCTGCCATGGCTCTTTTGGTAAAATAAGGTGTTGGGTTATCAGGGATTTCAAACCCTCAGAGTTTCTGGGCTTCTTAGACACAACTCTCCCAGGGGGAAGCCCATTATAGGCCTACCCCCAGAGACCCAAGCAGTGCTTTGTTCTGTGCTTTACTTACAGTTGGGATTAGCTGTAAAATTTCATCCTAACTTAAGGTTCTAAGTGGGTGAGAGCTTAAAGTCCTTTCCAGGTCCTAATTCTTAAGATTTTGTAATTCTGTAAAAGGAGCCTTGGTGGCACAGTGTTAAAGCACTCACCTGCTAACCAGGAGGTTGATGGTTCAAACCAAAGAGATTAGAGAAAGATGTGGCAGTCCATAAAGATTACAATGTTGGAAGCCCCAAGGGGTCACTATGAGTCAGAATTGACTAGATAGCAGGAGATTTGAGGGTTTTGTTCTATAATTCCATAAAAGTAAAACAGCAGCTGGGGCCTGTGGGTAATGGATGCAACCGAACAGGCAGCCCTGATGTGGTGATTCCATGAAATGCAGTTTATGAGTTAAGTCCTCTGTGGCTCTAAGTATCTTTCTCCTTTCTTTGTCTCTCTCCCAGGGACTCACTCTCTGAGATATTTTCGCCTGGGTGTTTCGGATTCTGGTCACGGGATCCCTGAATTTATTTCAGTTGGCTATGTGGACTCTCACCCGATCACCACATATGACAGTGTCACTCGGAAGAAGGAACCTCGGGCCCCGTGGATGGCGGAGAACCTTGCCTCTGATCACTGGGAGAGGTACACCCAGCTGCTGCGAGGCTGGCAGCAGACTTTCCAGGTGGAACTGAGGTACCTGCAGAGTCGCTACAATCACTCAGGTGGGGAATGCAGCTGAGATGAGTGTTTTCCCTCATGACTCCTTACCCCTGCCCCGAGGACTCTGGGCTGACAGCAAATATCAGCAGAGTCTCTGAGTTAAGCTCTCTGTAGATTCTGGCAAAGCCTGGAGCATCTGGGTTGCTTGAGTTCAATACCTGCCGTCTGCCTTCTGTATCTTCTGAATTGTCTGTCTCTTCCTCAGGAGGCTTTGCCCCCATAGTCCCTATCCTGTCCCACTCAGGCTACCTATGTCAATGTTCCCAAGGGCATTTCTGACTCCTGCACAGCTCTCCCTCTCCCATTGCACCCACGCTGTTGTTGTTTGTTCTGGTGAGTCGATGCAGACTCATCACAACCCCACAGGACAAACTAGATCTGCTCCATAGAGTTTCCTTGGCTGTGATCTTGATGGAAGCAGATTTCTAGATGTGGGGAGCTACTGGGTGGGTTCAAACCACCCACCTATTGGCTACTGCACTCATAGTAACCACGTTTATCAATTACTCATTCCCATTATAGGATAACTTCCCAAGGCAGGAATCATGTCCCCTTAACATGCTGTTGGTACTCTGCAATATCTGTTAATAGGGGGTCTTAGGGGTCCTGGTGTGGTGCTGCGGGTTAATGTGCTGGACTGTAGGGTCGATTTGAACCACAAGGACTCAAAGCCGCTTCTCAGAAGCCCTATACAGGGTCGCTGTGAGTGGGAACTGACTTGACAGCACTTAACAACAACAACGTGTAGCAGGAACCTCCTGGAGTCTCAACGATGCCATGACAGGCTTGCACAGTGACGTGTTGTGGGGCAGAGGAGCCTTCATGCCTTGGTCTTACTACCTTTCCCACCTCCTCTCTCCTTGTGTAACTCTCCTCCTGGCTTGTGCATGTGTTGCAGGGTTTCACACTTACCAGAGAATGATTGGCTGTGAATTGCTGGAGGATGGCAGCACCACAGGATTTCTCCAGTATGCATATGACGGGCAGGATTTCATGGTCTTCCATAAAGACACTCTCTCCTGGACAGCTGTGGACAGTGTGGCTCAAATCACTAAACGTGCATGGGAGGCCAACCGGCATGAGTTACAATATCAAAAGAATTGGCTAGAAGCAGAATGTATTGCCTGGTTAAAGAGATTTCTGGAGTATGGGAAAGATACCCTACATAGAACAGGTAAAAAGAGAGAACACCCCTACCCATCCCCAGAGCCCTTGACTTTTACACATACTTTGTCTAATCTAGATAACAGTCACCCTATCCTAAAATCCATCTCTTTAATTAGACTAACATGATCTATGATTTCCTGTGGAAACTTTCCCTAGTTGCTTTTGGTCAACATTGTGACAAGATTCAACAATTTCACTTGCCTTGACAGAGTGGAATATCTCCAAGGACATCTCCTTTTGGGGATCCCTCCATCTCATACCAGTGGGAAGTTGGGAAATACTTTTGGGAGGAAGAGCAATTCTTCCATGGATGCTCTTACCCAACATCAGGATGAATGAAAATCTAGACTTACAAAGAATGCAGAAGGTTTTAACTTTACTAAAGGATTTATAATAAGATTCTTTACATAAAGCCCTCCTCTTATGCATTTATCATATGACTCAATTAGTCAAGTTTTAGTTAAGAACAATAGCAATGTACAGAAGCAGATTGCCACATCTTTCTTCCATGAGACACTGGTGAGTTCAAACCGTTGGCCTTTTGGTTAGCAGTTGAGTGCTTTAACCATGGCACCTCCAGAGTTCTTTTGGTATTGTTGTTGTTGTTGTTAAGTGCCGTTGAGTCAGTTCTGACCCATGGCAACCTTGTATAGGGTTTCCGAGGAGTAACTGGTGAACTTGGACTGCTGACCTTGCAGTTAAAATCTACTTTGCAGTCACTGCATTCACCTACAACGCCACACCAGAGCTCCAGGCTGAGGTTGTTGTTGTGGTTGTTAAGTACCGTGGACTCAGTTCTGACTCATAGTGACCCTACACAGGGTTTCCGAAGCTGCAGATCTTTACAGGAGCAGAAAGCCTCATTTTTCTCCTGCGGAACAGCTGGTAGTTTCGAACTACCGACTTTGAGGTTAGCAGCCCGATTTGTAACCACTACGCTACCAGAGCTCCTTAGGCTGAGGTTAGGCATATGTAAAGAAGGGCTCATCTCAGTGTCTAGTTCCTGATCTTGGTAAGTTGTCAAAACTTCGCAAATGAAAAGAATTCCCTCGTTGCTTAGTCTTCTTCTCTTGGTAAATCCAGTACTGGGGAGAATGTAGAGAAATTGAAAGAAAGTTGCTTTGAATTGGGATTTGAGAACTCTTGTTGATTCTCTCTGGGTGTAAGGCACCTTTCAGAGAAATAGGGGAAACTGGGCAACCGTGAAGTGTAAAAAAAGTCTGGCTTCAGTATTCAAGGGGCCTTGAAAGTTTCATGGAGAAATTCCATTGTCTTTTTTATTTCATTTTTCCATAAATTTATTGAAGTTCTCTTGTATCTGTTCCTTCTGCCAAGCTTCTTGGTGTACCATCAGTCCTAGGGGTCCCTAACCCTTCAGTCAAGACCTACTCTCAGAAAAGGGCCTGGAATCAATTTCTTATAAGCAGAGTCTCCCCTGGGGACCCTGAATTTTTATTTGTAATATGGAAATGAAAGACTTTTTCTGTTACTAACTTTCATGCCTCAGGACAAAAACCAAGGAAAATGTTGTTGAGATGGACAGCTCTTTCTAGTATCAGACATGAGGTGGGAGTGAGGAGGTGAGCCTTAAAAATGAACAGAAAGCTGTCCCTCCAGATAGTGCCATTGGGCTCTATGTGTGACTGACACTTGAATGGGATCCAGTTTCATCAGGAGACACTAAAGATAGCACCGTCTGAGAAATTAATTGAATAGTCAAGAGAAAGCAAGGTCATGAATGGACAGTCCTTTGGTGTCACTGCTGGAGCTCCTCTAGGATATGAATCGTTCTTCAAAGGCACAAGGACAACATTATCTATTACACATGTTTGTGTCCAGTGACATCTACCAAAGTATCAGCCCAGGTACACAAGACAATTTGAAGCCAAAGTTGAATTAAGGTGCCTGTGTAATTTATTTGCACTAAGCACAGACTTGGGAATTAGGATTGCTGAGTTTTAGTCTTCATTCTGTTGCTGAATTAATTATCAGGAACAGTCACACATATGTAGCTCAGTTTTCCTTTTCTGTGACTCATCAAAGTGTTTCAAAGTTAACAGTAAGAGATCCCACCATACTTTCTAAGTGCTCAAAGCTGCAGACTTTTTGCCCCCTTAAAGAACAGAGCATAGCTGAATTCCACATTCTTCATTTCTAAGCACATAGCTAGCCCTAGTACAAAGTGCACAATAAATATGTCTATTGTTGATGAACCTGGGATCTAGATCATGCTTAGCTTTATCATTTCTATAGTGAAGAACAGTTCCTAACTTCTAATATTGTATGTTCAGTACATAAGGTACTTGTTTTTAACTATAGCTTCTTCTTTTTAGAGTCTCCATTGGTCAGAGTAAATCGCAAAGAAACTTTCCCAGGGATTACAACTCTCTTCTGCAGAGCTTATGGTTTTTATCCCCCAGAGATTTCCATGACCTGGATGAAAAATGGGGAAGAAATTATCCAAGAAATTGATTATGGAGACATTCTTCCCAATGGGGATGGAACCTATCAGACGTGGATATCAGTTGAGATGGATTCTCAGAGCAGCAAGGTTTATTCCTGTCACGTGGAGCATGGTGACCTACGCATGGTTCTTCAGGTCCCTGAAGGTAAGAGCAAAGGTTGTAACACGCTGTCAGGAGAGTGATATTGAGAAAAATGGGTGAACAGGAAACACAGCTGCCTTCCAAGGAAGGGGAGGACAGATCACTGTATTCACACAGCTAGCTTTAGGATGAATATTTTAAATCAGTGGTTTTCACACTATTTGGTACCGAAGTGCCTTTATACTCTTAAAAATTATTGAGGACTCTCAAAGAGCTATTGTGTGTATGTATTTTATATCTATATATAAAAGGGAATTTCAAAAAGTTATTATTATTTTTAAATATTTTATTGTAAATTGAATGAGGATTTACAGAGTAGATCATCAGTTTTTCATTCAAGAAATCATGAACTTTGCTTCATTACAATGATTGCAATCCCCTCCATGTACCATTAGTTAACAGTATTTAACTGTCTTCGTTTTAGGTCTTTACAACATTGGTCTCATGCAATGTTTTTCCTTTTGTGATTGACTGATTTCACTCAACATAAAGTCCTCCAGGTTCACCCATGTTGTGAGGTGTTTTGTAGATTCTTCAACGTTGTATAATATTCCATTATGTGTTTAGCCATTCTTCTGTTGATGGGCATTTAGGCTGTCTCCATCTTTTTGATGTATCTCTTTTAGGCAGCATATTGAAGGATCCTGTTTTCTTATCCATTCTGCTACACTCTGTCTTTTGACTGGTGCATCGAATCCAGTGACATTCTGTATAATTACCAATAGTTATTAATTGATCACTGTCATTTTGCTGTGTTTTGTGTGTATGTGGCACTGTTAGTTTCTATGTTCCACATAATGTTCTGTGGTGAGTTCATTTTGTTTGTGGGTTTTCTTTTTATTTTCATTTCTGTTGTGTTAATTAATGTTTACTAAATCTTTTGGATTTTCCTCTTTTTTATTTTGATATGGAAGTGTATTAATATTCTTTGAGGTTACCATATAACTTATTAATATTTTCCTTGTTTAAAACAATCTGTTTTATCTTTATATCTTCTTGACTTCCTCACCATTTGGAAGTTCTATATCTACACTACTCCTTTTTTTCTGTATTGTAGTTGACGTCATTATAAATTGGTATCTCTGGTTCCCTATTTTCAGTCTTATAGGTTTGTTTTACTTAAAATATTTCTATTTCTGAATTGAGTTCTGGGTAGTGTTGTCATGTATGTTAATATCAGGTTGTTTTCTGCTGTTGTTGACCTCAGTCCTAAGAGTTCCCTTTAGTATTTTTTGCAAAGTTGTTCTGGTTATTGAAAATTTCTTTAATATCTGTTTATTGGAGTCATGGTGTGGCTCTGTGGGTTAATGCGCCAGACTGCAAAGCTGTTTGAACTGCAAGGTCAGCAGTTCAAGTTTACCAGCTGCTCCTCAGAAACCCTATACAGGGTCGCTATGGGTTGGAATTGACTCAACGGCACTTCACAACAACAACAATCTGGAAATGTCCTAATTTTAACATGGTATTTGAGGGACAGCTTTGCTGTATATATGATTCTTGGTTGGCAGTTTTTTCCTTTCAGAGTTTTGTATATGTCATCCCAGTACCTTCTTGCTTGCTTGGTTTCTGCTGAGAAATCAAAGCTTAGTCTTATTGATTCTCCTTTGGAAAGTAAATTTTTGTTTTTCCTGAGCTGCCCTCAGGACTCTTTCCTGGTCTTTGATTTTGTTGAGTTTTATTATATGTCTTGATTATTTTCTTTTGGGATCTATCCTTCTTGTGTATTTATCTTCTCATCTTTTATGATGCTAGGGAAGTCTTCTTCCAACAACTCTTGGATAATTTTTTCTGCTTTTTATTGTCTCTTCCTGTTCTGGAATTCCTATCACCTATAAGTTACTCTTCTTTGTCCTACTCTTAGGCCTTCTTCCAATTTTTTTTCATTATTTTTACTGATTGTTCTTCTAAAATACTAGTATTGAGGTATTTATCTTCAAGCTCACTAATTTGGGCTTCCATTGCTTCAAATTTCCTCCTTTGTCCTTTCGATGTATTGTCCATTTTTGACATCTTAGTGTTAATTGTCTGGATTTCTGATCATAGGTTTTTTGTTTTTTTTTTCTAGTACACTTTTTTTTTTTAAGGTTTTTATTGTGGATTGAGTGAAAGTTTTCAGGGCACATCATCGATTTCACATTCAAACATTCATATACCTTGTTTCATTACATTGATTATAATCCCCTCCACATACCATCAGTTAACAGAGTTTCTCTCTATCCTCTTTAGCTTTTTTGGGGGGGGAGGGGGAACTTTGCCTTTTTGGAATTTACAGTCTCGGCTTTTAGGGAAGGTTTTTACATTTATCTGTGGGTATCCAGGGCTCATGTATGGAATTACTAACCAGCATAACTGAATAATCAGATAAGGGACATTTTGCTATGTCTGCTAAAGTCTGATCCTCAGAGCCTATGGTTTGGACGGTCAGCAACGCTTGGGCCCACAGGGATGATCACAGGTTTTATATTGAATTTTTTTCAGTAGTTCTGTTACCTTTTCTTCCTCAGAAATGTTTTCTGGCTCTGCAACTTGTTTATTTGTTTAAACCATTCTCTCTGTTTTTTGTTTGTTTTGTGTGTGAGCTAAAATTGTTTGTTGTTTTGGGGTATTTGTGGAATTGTCATATTTGTATTTAATTAAGGATTTTATGTTGATGTGTTCTTAGGCTCTCACCAACTGTCTCCTGTGGGTGTAGTTAGAGAATACTGGCTTGTGCACTGTTCTCTATTTGCTGTTCATACTTCTCAGTGTAGGTTGGGTTTGACTGGTATTGGCTGCTGTCTACCATTGATCAGGTGGTATAGGAACTTGTATTAGCTCTTGTCTAGTGGGTTGAGATGAAGAGGATATGGTTGCTGTCTCCTCTTGGTTGGGAAAAAGAAGAAATCCTGCCCACCCACCCCACACACACAAGAAAACAGAACAGAGTAAACAAACAAGCAATCAATAATGAAAAGGGAAAATAATAAAGGTGAATATAAGAAATGAAAAACAGACAGCATCCAGAAAAAAATAATATAATAACTAAAAAAAAAAAAAAAAAAAAAGAGGGACAGGAAAAATAGTTATAGAAGAGAAAAAAGAGGTAAAATCAAAGGAGGAATTTTTAAAAAACACTTAGAAAAAAACCAGGAAGAGGGAAGATAAAAAGACAAAGAGAGTGAGAGTAGTAAAGAAAGATCAAAAGGGGAAAAAATGAGCGAAAAGGGGAAATGAGAAACAGAAGAAAAGAAAAAATGAAAGCAAAGATAGGATAAAATTCAAGGGAAATGGAATGAGAAGGAAGAGAAGAAAGAATAAATAAACAAAAACAAGTAAACTGTGAAAGGAAAAAACAAAAAACCCAGTGCAGCTGTTGGACCTGAAGAAGAGAAAATTCTGGTGGCTCCTGCTAGCCAAGAAGCTTGCAAGGCGGTTACAGAAGGATGTGACAGCAGAGTCCCTGTATGCCTAGGTGTTCTATGTGTTCAGAGCACTCAATCTGAAGTAGTTTGTGGAGGCCCTTGATGGTGCTGGTTTCAGTGTCTATTAGTATCACAGGGCAGCAGGGGGAAGCGTGGTTGGTTATGAGGGTTTGCTGCTGGACACATGCTGGTCTGATGGCTCTGTAAGGTTCTGTAAGTCTGGAGCTGAACTTCCCTGAATATAGGCATTAAATCATGCAGCTGGTCCTTACCTCACACTGCCGAAGCTCACAACCATGTGGCTCCAAACTCTGGTTACCAGAGGAGCATGGAGAAAAAGAAGTAATCGCACCTTTCCTGTCACCTGTGTGAATTTGCTCGTCCATGCCACTTTCTGTCTCCAAAGCTGCTCACAAAAGTTCAAAACCGTCAACCCACCTCTTGCTGAGCGTTCACTAGTCAGTCTCACTCTCTTGCCATCCCTGCTCAACTTCTCCTTTCAGTAAGCACTTAATCCACTTCTCTAACCTTTCTGCTGAAGTTCAGGGTTGTAGAATTTTCATCTGTGTGTTTCATTTGGTCTCTTGTATCTTTGTTGTAGAGGGTTTATGTAGTACATCTGCCTAGTCTACCAGCTTTCTGGAAGTCCTCCATTATCTTTTAATTCCATTTCCTACAAACTTTTTGATGCCCTCTCTTCTATGTGTGCAGTTATGTATCATATTACAAATTTTTAAATGAGAAAAATATTTAAAACATAAGATGCAGAAGCACATATTCCATTAGACACCAGAATGATGACCTTTTTACATCACACAGCCTATAGAAAACTACTGTACACACATGAGAGAGTGAAATGTAGAAAGGCAAATCATGGCTTAGTCTTGCTGGTTTCCCTGAAAGAGTTTTGGAGACACCCTTGGGGTCTTTGATTATACTTTGAAAACTACTGTTTTAGGTTACCCTACTCAGAAACTGTGAGTCCATAGTAACAAAAATAATGTTGAATTTACTGATAATTATAGAAGCACAAGTCCCTGAAAGTTACCATAGAAGGGGAAAGGAATTATGAGATTTTCTTCATTTGCTTGGTTTCAGAATCAGAAACTATTGTACTGGTGATGAAAGCCATCGCTGGGTCCATAGTACTTGCCATTGTGTTTGCTGGAGCTGGGATCTTAGTCTGGAGAAGAAGACCCCAAGGTGAGAGTCATATGGAAGTATTCTAAGGGGCTGAAGATAACCTCTTGCCTACAGCTCCAGAGAGCTTTGCTTTCTGATCTGAGCTTTATTTAGATATGAGTTGACCCTTACTTTGGGATCACAGAAGGTACGGGAAGCACTTCTTCCACCATCTAGGAAGCCTAGACCATGGATAAAGCTTATAAAGTGAGTGGCGTGTTGAGAGGTGGTACCTGTCCTAAAGGTTGAATCAGAGAAGCTGTAGTGACCTTGATTTGTCTCTTCCAAAGCAAGTCTTTACTATGAGTTACTACTAGTTTCTGGGGGAATTTTGCCCTTTGTTTCAAGACTTCAGTCATTTTTCTGCTCCAATCATGAGACTCCTTTTCTTCCTAAATTCATTTTTTTCAACACATGAAATATTTAAGAGTGAATGCCTTTGGAAAGTGGGACTATGAATAAGGAAAAGGGAAAGAAAAATGGGAGAGAGATAGACTCATTATAGTTAGAGGAAAAATAGATTCATTTCCTAATATATATATAGATATATATATATAAAGTACGTAGACTGCTAACTGCAAGGTCAGCAGTTTGAATCTACCATCTCTCCATGGGAGAACAATGAGGCTTTCTGCTCCCATAAAGATTTACAGCCTTGGAGACCCTATATAGGGTCTCTATGAGTTGGAATTGACTTGGTAGCAACCTATTCTAATACTTGGTTGCTCTGAGTCAGAATCATCTCACTCATGGCAACAGGTTGTTCTAGGCACAGAATTGGATGCTGGAATAGCAATGAAAGACAGTCAGGATCCCGGCTGTCACAGTTTATTTTCTAGCCTTGTAAGTTCATTTCCCCCCTTTGTCTTCACTGTTGCTCAAGTTGATGACAACCTAAAATTGAGCCCACTGTGGGCCAGGAGCTTGGCTTCGCTTCATAGCCACAGACTGTAGTCCCATTTCAGGGGACAGTGTACCGAAGCATATTATTATATCCAAGTCAAACCAAGCCCACTACTTGAAGATCAACTTAGAGACCTGGTGGTCATTAATGGTATATTTATAAGGGAAGTACTGCACTGTTCTCAATCTAATAAATAATAGCTGCTGAAGCAAAACACAATTAAACAATGATGCTTCACCTCTCTCAGAGTCCTGGTATGGTGCTGTAGGTTAATGCGCCAGACTGCAAAGCCGTTTGAACTGCAAGGTTGGTGGTTCAAGCTCACCAGCTGCTCCTAGGAAACCCTATACAGGGT